TCCAACTGACTAGAAATATATCTTGCATCTGGCCTAATATTTACATTCAGCAAATACTAGATGATGAATGCATGCAGAAGAATAAGGGACTTGACTACAGAGGAAGCTTTGTTAATTGGTGAGGAAGAGTATAGCCCTAAGCTGATATCACATATCTAAATTATTCAGAAAGATTTCAGAGTCACCAATTGTATATATCCCTGTGATATCCAGCATCTTGAAAAGATGCTTATAAGAGAACATTTTCATAGCTCTGACCAGAAGCTTGCTGAAGACTCATTTTGTCTTCTGTGATGTTGTTTCTGGAGAAAACCCGCCCAATGGTTTTCTGTGGCCTGTACTATATGTCAACCCTGCTCTGGAGCCAAGGATTATGGTGCTACACTAATTTTACTGCTGCCAGCAGTTTTGTTGCCTTTGTTTTTCAATTCTTGGCTGCAGAGCCATTCTCTACAGTGTTGGTCCTAAAGAAAAGGGCAACTAATTCCCAGGAGAGGGGCTGGTTGGCGCTACAAGGAAGTACAAAGTCTGAGTGACCCAGCCATCACTAATGGGCTGCCTAGTGCTGAGGTCTGGGGCTTTAAGGGCTTGTAAAACAGATTGGCATAATTGGACAATTGAGCAATTATCTGAGGCTTTAGGTTAAAAATAACTTCCTTGCCTCAAATTTCCAGGCATTTCAGATTAAAACAACGCTTTCCACCCCCTATCCTCTTTGTCAGATAAAGCTAATTAATAGGCAAAGACCAAGACCCATCGATGAAAAATTAACTGAGTTCTAACTGGCATCTTTGTGAGCCACTGATTTTTTTTTCAATGTTTCCCACAATTTGTTTCTACCATCCAGATACTTGGAACTCGGGAATGGCAGTGAGCATAGGGATTCCATTCACTTTCCTACAATCCAGTGTATGTATTTTGTAGGAGGAAAAATGGGAGGTGTCCTTAGAAACACCCAAGTGTTTTCCCTTAGAAAAACTCAAGTTCTCACTGCACAGTTCTTTTTGTAATGGTTCTGAGAACTGTATGTTGAACAGATGAGATGGCCCTTGACTTTCTCCTGTGAACAAGTACCCCAGGTATCTTATAGAAGGGAGCAGAATAGATGTAGGAATTGAAGTGGTCAGGTTTACATGGTTTGGGGCTTTCTCACACAGTTAATCCCTATGAGCATATTTTCCTTGTTCATAGATAAAGGGAACTAGTGTAGGTTGTCTGGTAAGAAGAGTTTTGTCTTCAAATGCTTGCAAAGGCACACACCCATAACCAACATTGATTCTTTTTCCTACATTCACTTTAATGGGAGGCTGACTTTATACAATGTTTATTTATTTTTGGCTTCGGGGACCAACCTGGAACTGTTCAGGGACTACTCCTTTGTCTGTGCTCAGGGATCATTGCTGGCGGTGCTTGGTGGACAGTATGCAATGCTAGGATCCAACCCAGGTCAGCTGCATGCAAGGCAAGTACCCTCCCCACTGAACTATCTTTCTGGCCCTATGTAATATTTTTCAGATAAGCTTTATTTATTATAATAGGGAAAGAGCTGAATTCTGTGAAAAGAGGAAAGATAAAGATTATAGGAACTGTTTCCACTAGACTCAGGGCCTTAAATGTTCTTTGACTCCTATGGGGGAAAATATCCCCAAATGTTTAAGAAGGAAGCTACTGCTCTTCAGGAATTACTCCTAGCAGTGCTCGGGGTATTATATGGGATGCTGGAGATCAAACCTAGGTCAGCTGCATGTAAGACAGAGGCCCTGCCTGCTGTACTATTGCTCCGGCCCGTTCTGGAGTTTCAAAGGCTGAAAACAGGGGCTTCAGTGGCGGCATTGCCCGTTTAGACTTTTGGTGTCCTTTATATTATGAACTAACACAAGATTTATTACAAAAAAACTATCCATTAGAAAGAAAGAAAAAGAAAAGGACAAAGGATGATTTGTTAATAGCTGCCATTGGTAACAATCTTATATCTTACTTATATAATGAATACCTTTTTGTTCTTTTATGTTATATATTGCTCAGTTTATATATGTTTGTGTAAGGAAATAAAACATTCATCTTTTCTTCCGATGTAGTAGCTCCAGTGATAGTACAGCGGTGGGGCCTTTGCCTTGCACACAGTGGACCAGGGTTCGATTCCTCCACCCCTCTCGGAGAGCCCGGCAGGCTACAGGGAGTGTCTTGCCCGCATGGCAAAGCCTGGCAAGCTACCGATGAGGTATTTGATATGTCAAGCACAGTAACAACAGGTCTCACAGTGGAGACATTACTGGGCCCGCTCGAGCCAATCCATGAACAATGGGAGGACAGTGAGACAGTGCTATATTATGAACAGTTCCCACTTTGCAGAAAATAGCCAATATGAATAAGGGGAATCCAGGATGAAGTGGGAAAATAAGAAAAGAAACTGGAGGAAGTGGTGTATAACTCCGGGGCTTTGGGAACATCAGGAAGTCTTTTATGTGGAGTGATGTTTTGCTTCCCCTAGGATTCTGGCTCGTTCACTAGTGGGTGTTTGTGTCATGGAAATGTTAGAGAGAATCCAAGTGGCATCATTTCTTTTACATTGCTCTGAACATCCAGCCCACATTTGGAAAAGTTTACACTTAATTCCTTTACATGTGTCGTCTCTTCTCTTGGTTAATAGTTCCACAAGTCCAAATGAAAGATTTCCAAATGATTGATCTTCAAACTATCATAATCTTTTCACATCGCATAATTGTTTTGCACTTAAACCAAATCTTATATGCTTTAATGATTAGATCTTTTACCCCTTTAATTTATAAGCAAAATTGATTCTTCAGATCAATATTCCCCGGGGCACAAGAATCTAGGCTGCTGGTGGAGTCTGAGTGGGTCTGTCTGAATGTTAATTGTTGCTGCTACTGTCTCCTGGAGCAGGGATGCGGCTCTCATTTTCCCAGCCAAACTCTGGCCACATGTCAAAATCTATAGCAACACACCAGACTCATTTTTCCTCCAGACCCCCAAATAAAAGGAGATCAATCACATCTGTCTTCCTTACTACCTTTCTAAGACAGTTTCATTTGAAAAACTGCCTGTTGGCTTAACTTACAAAGGCCAGAGCGCATGGTAAGAAGGGATGCGAAGGTTTGAAAAGGCCTGTCGGAATGCCCTATGCTAAGCTCACTCTGTTCAATACCAATTCAATACCAATTCGGTATTGAATTATCAAACAGTGTTCTCTAGAATGAATGCAGCAGCATCTCTGAAAACTTGCTAGAATTCCTGGACCATATATCAGATGACTTGATTTCAAGCTCTAGGAGAGTGGCCTGGTGATCTCTATTTTAACATATCCCAGGCCATTATTTTTTTTGGGGGGGGGGGAGGGAAGGAAGTGTAACTTTGAGCATCTTACTCCTTGAGCATCTCACTCTGCACTCAGGAATTACTCCTGGCAATGCTCAAGGGACCATGTAGGATGCCAGGGATTGAACCTGAGTTGGCCACGTGCAGGTCAAGTACTATTGCTGTATTATCACTGTACTATCACTTCAGCCCCATCCCAGGCCATTCTGATTTCCTCTGAGAACCATGTTTTGGGATGTTTTGGGACCTGTGAAGACTTTCTTGAAATTTTTGAAGGAAAAAAATAGTTCCGTGATTCTTTCTCCCCTTTCCTAAATCTCATTCACACAAATGAGTAAGATCACCATTATCTCCTGAGAGTATCTTCCAGGAATCGCTCTACTTCACCCTGTCCTTCTGATATGCCCAAGAACCCAGAAAGTGACTACATTTAAGTCTCCACTTTCATGTCTGTTATTTTTATCTCTTCTTATTAGGGCTCCACAATACTTACTGATAGGATTGAACACATAACTTATTTATATGGAAAGTCTGTTACTTTAAAAGTGCTTCTATGTGCCAGATATTATAGTCCAACCATTTTACAAATGGTTTTATAACCTCTTCAAAGAACCAATTTTATAGACGAGCAAATGAAATCAGAGGGAAGATAAATAACTGCAAGGTTAGCTGGGCGGGAGCGGTAGTCCCTTCACCCTACCCCTATCCAGTAGCATTGTTTGGAATGATGTACTCAAACTCAGTGATGGGCTTAGAGGGAGCCGCTGAGCTTGGGTGATTTATCTGTTACCCTCACATCTCTACTTTGTAATTGAAAATAGAAGCATGATATCTTTGGCATGCAGAACTACACTTCCCACCTGCTTTGTTTCTCTAGGAGAGAGACTGGGGTAGCAGCATGAGATTCATAGTCTTCTGTCATACTCTGGGTAAAGAAGGCACACAATCCAATAACCAAGGCTAATATTTTAAACTCTGGCAGCAAAATGAAAATATCTGAGCTTTATAGGCCATGAATTGCTGACAAGGCTTCACTAATAATATTCCTTATGTAAAGTGACTAACACATGTCAACTGGGTCTGTTCCTTTATCAAGAGGTGGAAGTGAGTTTAAATATTTTGATTTCAGCTTTTCATTACTCGAGTAAGAACAGTAAACACTTGCTGGATGTGAGAAAAATATGGATTCTCAGAAAAGTAATCGACTTTGGGGGCTGAGCAAATATAACTAAAAGGCTTTTTTTTCCCCCTCTGTGAGAGTATCAAGCAGGGCAATCTGGAGCAAGGGAGCATTGGTACTCAACTTAGTGCCCCTGCCTTGTAATCTGAGGACACAATTTAGATGCCGGGTGCCACTGTATGAACAAGTTGTGTCCTGGCAGTTGTGTCTGCTCTCTGGACCCCTGGCACCACAAGCCGTTTCTACCTATACAGCAACCAGGTATGTGCCCTCACCTCAGCTAAAAGATGCAACCTCCAGCACATAGCAAGACTGCAAAAATTTTAGGAGTCCATGGCCAGGAAGTATCATCCTCATAGAGCACTACTGTGACTTCCAACAAGCACTGTGACTGTCACTGTCATCCCATTAATCATCGATTACTTGAGCAGGCTCCAGTAGTGTCTCCATTTGTCCCACCCCTGAGATTTTAGCATCGTAAACTTTATGCTCTCTCTCCGTGGATATGACACGCCAGCTGGATGTCCTTGGGCATAATGGTGATGAGCTTGGCAGGGAATGTACAGAGGTTGGTGTCCTCGAAGAGCCCCACCAGGTAGCCCTCAGATGCCTCCTGAAGCATCATGGCGGTGGAGCTCTGAGAGCACAGGTTGATCTTGAAGACCTGAAAGACCTTGAGCACTAGCCACTGGAATGGCAGTTGGTGGATCTTGTGTAGTGGCACACTGTCGGGCCGGTAACCGTGCGGCATCCTCATGCCACCAGTGGCTGGTGCGCTCTTGTGGGCCACCTTGGTGGCCAGCTGCTTGAGGGGCGCCTTCCTGCTGGTTGACTTGCATGCTGTCTGCTTAGTACAAGCCTTCTTGTTCTTCCCAACTCAGCTGGAGACTTCTTCGGGGTTAGGGAAATGAGACCCATTTTAGCTACTCTTTTTGGCATATTTGGTAAATCACGGGTGGCTCTGCTGTGAGGGCTGGATACCCTCAGTAGCTAGCCAGGCTCCCCAACAAGCACAGCACCAGGAATTAAGGACTGTGATCGCTACTGAATACACGTGCAAGAGCAACTAACGGCACAGCGAGCACCACACCTAATATCTGAGATCTCAAGTAGAAAGATATGTTGTCACTGCAACAGGATCAATGGAGGGAAAGGCAGGAGGTGGGGGTTCTGTGTCAAGTAGATCTGGGAATATACACATAGGGTGTGACTTGTGGATGTCTCTGGAATTTCCCAGACCCAATGTCTCTGGTGCAGTTTTCTTACTAGGGTGACAAGTCTTTTTTTTCTTAAGAAGATGCCTCCAGGTCAGAGGGCAAGGGCATTTCAACTCCAGTGAGGAAAATTGTCTACCATGGAGGCAGGGGGAGGGTTGGAAAGTGGGAGTACACTGGGGCATTGGTGGTGGAGAATGTGCACTGGTGGAGGGATGGGTGTTTGATAATTGTATGATTGAAACTAAAACATGAAAGCCTTGTAACTGTATTTCATGGTGATTACAAAAACTATCCTCAAGTATCTTTACATTAAAAAAAGGGGGGCATTTCAACTACCTTGACTCTCACTTCTTTCTTCCATGCTGGTATGGTTCTTGAAGAACTCTTCCAGGTTGGAATCAAAGGGACCTTGAAGAAGAAAAGGGAACAAGATTATTGAGTGTTGGAGAAAGCACTGAACAAGGCTTCTATATCTTTATCTGTGCTCCTGAGCTCTGTAATCAGGAGAATTTATATAAACCTTCTTAGACATTGGTTTCATCATCAGATGAAAAGACCAAACCTCAACTTGCCTAGTGTCAGGTTATCTGTTAGGAGGGTTAGGCCTAAGTATCAAGACTGACATTAGGAAAAGTTTATCAAAGACTTTGCTGTTATTATCAGAAGGATTCATCACAACAAAACAGATATTTGTTCTATCTAAGGTACTACCCTCAACATTTTAAAAGACATATTTTGGGACCAGAGCGATGATACAGCAGATAGGGTTCTTCTCTTGCACATAGCCAACCCTGCTTTGATCATGTATGGTCCCCTGAGCACCACCAGGAGTTATCCATGAGCACAGAGCCAGAAGTAATTCCTGAGCATCACTGGGTGTACCCCCACAACCCTCCCAAAGAAAATGTATTCTTTTGGGGTGTTTCGGTAATTACTATGTTGCCTTAGCAGGAAAAGAAGTCAATTTTTTCAAACATTGAACTACTTATATTTAGAGTGTAATTAAATTTTATTTATAAACATCAATATGAAAATCTTATTTACTGTTAACTTATATAATTTATTTCCAGTTTCTGCCCAGCCCTTACAATTTTTTGAAGAAGTTTTCCAAGAAGGACTCAGGAGGTTCTGGGTTAAAGACTTTATTACATTTTAACAACTATTTTAAAGTTGGCTTGCAAAATGGCATAGTCCATTAATTTCTGCCAACAATTTATGAAAATCCCTTTCTGCTTATCACTACAAATAGTAGATACTATACTATTTTAGTTTTGATCAGTTTTATGTAAAATTGTATATTATTACTTTATAATTGGATTTGATTCCTCTGCCCCTCTCAGAGAGCCCAGCAAGCTACCAAGAGTATCTCGCCCACACGGCAAAGCCTGGCAAGCTACCCATGACATATTCAATATGCCAAACACAGTAACAACAAGTCTCACAATGTAGACATTACTGGGCCCACTCGAGCAAATCAATGAACAATGGGAGGACAGTGCAGTGTAGTGCATTGTATCTAAATTTTTATGAAGATAAGAGTTTTCTCTTCATTTTTGCATATTTGACCAATCTTATTCTTGACCATAAAGTGCTCATTTTTAAAACTCTTATTTCTCCTCTATTGTTTTTCTTGGCAATTTGTAAGAATTCTCTGTGTATTAAGGGAGGTTTCCTCTATTTTATGAGTTATAGTTGTGCTAAGATATGACAGTATCTATTTGTGGTATCTTTCTTGATGCACGCTAATTTGAGTCTTCCAAGTAGTTTTTAATTATTTTTAATTTCAATTTGAGTTTTCAGTCTTGATCAAGGTAGTTTCCCTAAACTCTGCATATCTAAGTCTCCTTGATTTTCTTTCATTTGTGAAATTATTTTAAATTAGCTTTTTAAATTTGTCTTTAATCCACATAAACATTTCAAGAGGGAGTCCATTTTTTTTCTGGATGAATAACCAACAGTGTCATATCATTTATGAAAGAGTTTGTTTTTTTTTCCTTCAGTAACTATGAATTTTGCCATGGATTTTGGAGTCCCTATTCTGTTTGAATACTTCATTTTAATATATATCTCATTATATGAAAGTTTACATAATATGTATAAAACTTTTGGCTTAGTATTTTTTAATGAACTGATTTGGGTATAAGTGCTTTTATTTAAATTTTAGCCAGAGCTATCTGTGTAGATTTTCAAAGAATTTTTGAAGCTGATAGATTTTTTTGTTACTTAAAATTTTCTATAATTTTATTGTCTTATAAGAAAGTGACCTATAAATATGTGCTACAATTATTTTTTTTTCTTTTTGGGTCACACATGGCAATGCACAGGGGTTACTCCTGGCTCTGCACTCAGGAGTTACTCCTGGCAGTGCTCAGGAATTACTCCTGGCAGTGCTCATATGGGATGCTGGGAATCAAACCCAGGTCGGCCACGTGCAAGGCAATCGGCCTACCTGCTGTGCTATCTCTCCAGCCCCCTGTGCTACAAATTTTAAGTTAAAAAAACATTTGGGTGTGGAGAGGTTTTTTTTGGGCCTCACATAGTGGTGCTCAGGGCATACTCCTGGCTCTGCACGATCACTGCTGGCAATACTTAGGAGTACTGGGGAGATGGGGTACCAGGGATTGAACCTGAGTCAACCTTTTGCAAGGAAAGAGCCCTACTCCTGTACTATTGCTCTGGCTCAAAGTTAAGAAAAAATTTATTGAAGTAACATTGCATTATAACATTATGTAACTTTTGGGTGTACACTATTACAAACCAACATTTATATATATGCAATATTAAAAGTTCAGTCTCTCCTTTGTTCAACAATCAATCCTTTTACCTGATCTTCTTATCCTCCCTCTTTTTTATTTTGCTAATTTTATTTTGCTAAATACTCATATCTGATGCTTGTCTTGATTTATCAAATTCTTATTGCTTTCCTGTTAATTTTTAGATAATGTATTTTTCTGATTATTTGTTTTACACAGCTTAAGTTTAGGACTGTTTTGCCTTTTCTAATAAATTTTTTTTTGGTTTTGATTCGAATCTCCTTTATCATGCTTTATGCTTCTTATCTGTAAAACAAATTGTTATTAATTTCATCTCCTTTGTTTTTATATTCTTCGCATCATGACTAATATCTTTTGTCCATTCATATCAAATTTATCTTTTTATTTTATGGGTGTTTCCGCAAAATAACAGTTAGGATTTGCCCTTAAGCCTCTTTAAGACTGTTTTTACATGGCATAGTTGAGTGTATTTCCATTCAAGGTTATAGTCTTTTGGTGGATGATGGTTTGGCGCCACACTCAGCTGTGTTCAGGGTTTGCTCCTGGTTCTGTGTTCAGATTTACTCCTGGCTCAGTATTCAGGGGTCATTCTGGCAGTTCCCAGGGTATCCAGGGATTGAACCGGGTTGGCTGCACACAAGGTAAATTAGCACCTTATCCACTGAACTGTCTCTCTTGTTCCTAAAGTTACACTTTTGTGATTAACTTTTGTTTTTCAAACCAAGGCATCTCAACTTGGTCACTACTGATATTTGAGCCAGGAAACCTTTTGTTGTAAAAGCTGTTTAGTAGTGACACTGACTCCACCCACTGTATGCCATTAGGACTTGCCCCTGTCAGTTTTGGCAACAAAAAACATCTCCATTGCCAGATTACCCTGGGAGAGAGGACATCACTTGAGTTGGCATCTGCTTTGCTCCATCTGAGATTCACACTCAAGGCCTGGAAGATTTCTACATAAGTTTCACATGTTTGTTGAGGGCAGTTTCATCTGGCTTCATTGCACTGGTGAGACCAGCTAGTTTGTGTGAACAGAGAGGATCCTGGGACCTGGAACTTTCTGTGCTAAAATTGGGACAGTCATTGGAGAGGAACTGGATGTTCCTATTTCCAGTCCTATTGTTTTATAACAATAATCCTTGACCAAAGAGCTAAGTACACCCAGGCACACTCAGTCAATAATAAGTTTCTACAACCAGTGAAACTTGCTCCAAGTATATCCTGATCTCAGACTAGTGAAATCTTAAATCCTTGGATATCTGTGTAAATCATACTAGCTGTTCTAGAGAGCTGTTAGGTCTGTCTACTGCCTTTTGAAATGGGTGGGTGGGGGTTAGTTTACTTGGAGGGTATGTGGTAGTCGAGATTAAAACTGGGACTTCCACATATTCTCTAGTACTCTGAGCTCCCTCCCTGATACCTTTATCTTTGTAACCACATCTCTGTATTTTATACATACTCTTTACCATTCTTTTATTCTGAATCTTTCCTCAACCTTTTTCATTGTTGTTGCATCCAAGAATTTTCCTTAGGTAGGATACTTGGGTAAAATATTTTTAGCTTAAAAAAAATTCTGAATACTTTATCTTAGCCCAACAGATAAATGGGAACTTTACTAGAATAAAAAAAATCTTCAAAAAAATTTTGGGGGTCCATATCCAGTGTTGTCAGGTCTTACTCCGGGCTCTACACTCAGACACCACACCACACCCCCTGCAGGGGATTGAACCCAGGTCAGCTGTGTGCAAGGCAAGAGCTCTGACCACTGGGCTATCGTTCCAGCCCCTAGATACAGAAATCTGGAGTTTCGTACTGAAGAGTCCTAGTTTGACCTGATCTTTATTTGCAGGTTTATCTATGAGCAGATTGACTCATTCGAACCCTTTAGATTCATTTTCCTATTTTTTTTTAAGCAAGCTCATTTCTCTCTTTTAAATCTATTATCTCATTGCTGGTTCAATCAAAGTTTAATCTGTGATGGTGGAGGATTTAGTAATTAGGGAGTGGGGGTGGAGAGAGCTGCCTCTCACTTTTTTTAGCCTAAAGGTAAATATCCATTTTCAACACATATTTTGTCTGGTTTTAAGGAATTCACTATTTATTTTAAAAAAATCTATTCGGCATTTTTTTTTTTCTGGGCGCTCTCAGCCTCCACTCTGCATTTTAGCTGCTCTACAGTCTCACTGGAGAAATTGTGTGAGGGGGCGTAGGCGGTAGGACTTTATCCTCTCGCCCAGATTCTGACAGTTCTGAAGCACATTGTAGAGCAATGCTTTTGGTTCTGAGCCTTTCCTGGATCAGACTAGCATCTGGACGGTGTTTATTGAGAATATGACACCTCGAAGAATTATTCAGGACATTCAGGTTCTAGGATATAGAAGGGATCTTTTCTCTGAACTGAGCTGTCCTTAATTTCCATCAAAACAATTTTCAGAAGCACCTTTTTAAATAATCCCACCTCTTTGAAAACTCAGGCTGGGAAAGAAATTACCTCCCTTTAAGCCCCCATGACCTCTTAGCCAGAAATGAAAGGAAAAATGAGTTAATTATGACACTTTCAGAGGATTAGGAACTCTCCAGACAGTGCAGAGGGCTCTGAGTGAGGCTCTGGGGTTCTCTAAATTTGGATGAGTGACTTTGATAGTGAACCCATTCTGTGAGGTCCCTTGCAATGCCGTCTGCACTATAAAGTTCTGAGCAAGAATTAGTGCATCCCTGCCTCAAATGCAGTGGAATCTTTTTTTTTTTTTAATTTTTGTTACTGAATCACCGTGAGATACAGTTACAGAACTTTCATGTTTGAGTTTCAGTCATACAATGGTCAAGCACCCATCCTTCCACCACTGCACATTTTCCACCACCAATGGTTACAGTATACCCTCCCCCATCTCAACCTTCCCCCCTGCCTCTATGGCAGATACTCTCCTTTTGGGCATTATGGCTTAAATACAGAGAAATCTTTAGGTCCCTCCCAACATTCACACTGTCTTGGATGTTGAGTAATTTCTGTTTGTATCTTTTTCTGCAAGGAGAATGGTTATTATGTGAAGGGACTGTGTGATCCAAACTGTGGTATTATTGTCCTTAGTCCTTTGCCTAGTGCCTGAAACATGACAGGTGTCCAATACTGACAGAAGTTTGCATGGATGACTGAAAGAAAGAAACTCAAATCTCCCTTCTTGATTTCCCCTCCTTGTCTGCCCTTTGGAATTGAGTTCTTTTTATCTGCTTGGTTAACGTTAGCTTTAGGTCTATATTCTATTCCACTGCTATTGCCTTCAAGCTATCCATAGTTTTTCTTCTGCTAATTTAGTTTGGTGCTTATTTAAATCCAGATCAGAAAGATCTTGCATTAAATAAGCCTCCAGGGTGTCAATAAACATCAGGTAGCAATAAAGTATCTCCTAACCATTAATTTGCATTCTGAAAGTTTTCCAATTTCTTTCTCCTCTCTCCCTTAGCTGTCATTCCTATGTATGCATCTTTCTTACTTCCACTTGGCCATTCTCTCTTGTCCACCCTCCTTTACAAATGCAAACTCTTTTATTTTGTTTGGGCACAATTACAGCTATTGTGCTCTATTTCTATTGTGAATTTCCTTAGGTTTCCCTCATGTTGTTCTTAAGATTAAAGATATTCTTCCCCTAGTAAGAAAAACATCTTAATAGAATATGGATTTTAATGTGGGCACAGAAACCAGGAGAGAAATGGGATTTCATTAGATTCTTTCTATCACAGGTCTTCTATATAATCTCAGTTACAACAGAAAACATGGAGTGGAATATTAGTCTTTAACCCCATCTTCCTTTCAAACTATTTCCCCCAAATCCTTTATTTTAGTATACATTTATAAACAAAATTATATTTTTCCAAGTTCTAATTATTTCTGTCAAGAATATTCCCTTAGCTGCCCTGCCACAGAGGAAGGGTGGGATGGGAGTACGGTGGGTGGGAGGGATACTGGGATCAGTGGTGGTGGAGAATGGGCACTGGTGGAGGGATGAGTACTCGAACACTGTATAACTGAAACCCAAGCACAAAAATTTGTAAGTCTACAACTGTACCTCATGGTGTTTCACTAATAATTTTTTTTTTTAAAAAAAAGAATATTCCCTTAGGTATTAGACTTAGTCTCAGAGTTTTTCTGATTGGATCTACATATTGAAAAGTGTCTCTAACAGCCTTCAGAAAAAGATAATGCAATGTGTTGGTAGTTGGGGGAACTTAAAAGGTCTGTGGACATACAAGGCCTTCAGTTTATGGATGTGTATGTGTTTGTGTGTGTGTGTGTGGGGGGGGTGGATGTGTTATGTGGTGTGCATTATCTGTTGCTTAGCATAACTTTTGATTGAAAGAAAAACCAACTTAAACGGGGACCCAAAAAGGAACCAACTTGAATTACTATAACTGAAGACGACACTAGAAGGACAAGTATATATACATGTCTCAAACTTGACTGAAAAGAGTCTGGCTACCACCAGCTCTTCGTTCTTTTCTGCTTCTCTTTTCATGTTGAATTCAATAAGATATTTGCCACTAGTAGGCCAAATGCCCTCTTTTTTTTTTTCCATTGCCTCTCCAAAGAGACTGAGCATTCTCTTGATCCAAATTTAAAAATCACTGAGCAGTACTTTATCTTGACTCATCTTGATAGCATAGCGGATAGGACTTTTGCCTTGGACGTGGCTGACCGGCTTTGATTCTTCCGTCCCTCTCAGAGAGCTGGTCAAGCTACTGAGAGTATCCCGGCCACACGGCAGAGCTTGGCAAGCTCCCTGTGGCGTATTTGATATGACAAAAACAGTAACAAGTCTCACAATGGAGACGCTACTGGTGCCCGCTGGAGCAAATCCATGAACAATGGGAGGACAGTGCAACAGTGCTACATCTTGATAAGGAAACCAGCCTAGATGCACTCATAGTCACCCCAGAGTAGGATATGGGTTAGTAAATCCATGCACATTAATACTATAACCAAACTAGGGGAGGCACTTTCCTAAAAATATCAGAGGCACTGTTCTGGATTAGACAGAACGATCGATATCTTTTACCTAGGAAGGATAAAGACAGACTTTTGAGAAAGAAAACTTTTCAAGGAAAAATTTGTTAGTCATAAAAATAACTTCTTGCTGCTCAGTGATCACTTCCTGCTGCTCGTGAAGAAGTCCTTTGCAAGGGTGAGATTTCTAGAGAGTAGTATGAAATAAAGTCACTTTTCCCTAAAGGTTGAGTAAATCTCTCTCTCTACCTTTGAACCCTAAATGTAACTGGTACAAAAATTTGTACCTGTAAGTGGTGCTAACTTAGAGCTCTTAGCATATGAACTCTGCTGTAGATATGCAGATATGCATATGAAGATATGCAAATGACTTCCACATTCATGAGTATCATTTGTGCTCAGAGTCACATGTCTGAGATTCATGACAGGAGGGGATGAGAAGTGAGGATAAAGGGAGTTGTCAGGTTCAGAGGATAAAAATCTTGAGTGAACACATTCTAGGTCCATCAGTGTGTGATTTCAAATACACAACATTTAACCACATCATTTTCAAAAAAATGCAAATATAACATATTTGTTCCTCTATATTGAAATTTTATGATATTTATTTGTATATACTGTAAAATGGCTGGAGTGATAGCACAGCGGTAGGGCGCTTACCTTGCGCACACCCAGCCCGGCCAAGCCGGGTTTGATTCCTCAACCCCTCTCAGAGAGTCTGGCAAGCTCCCGAGAGTATTCAATATGCCAAACACAGTAACAAGAAGTCTCACAATGGAGACAATACTGGGCCTGCTTGTAAAATAGTAAATTTTGATATTTTTATTATTATTTTGTTTTCTTAATTTTTGCTTTTTGGGTTACACCGACGATGCACAGGGGTTCCTCCTGGCTCTGCACTAAGGAATTACTCCTGGTGGTGCTCGGGGGGCCAGATGGGATGCTGGAAATCGAACCCAGGTCGGCTGGATGCAAAGCAAACGCCCTACCTGCTGTGCTATTTCTCCAGCCCCAAATTTTGATATTTTTAATTTTAAGAAATTTAATTTTAAGAAAGCCGATGTTTGTCAATAATGTTTGTCAGTGATCTTTGGATGATTTTTATTTGCGGAGGGGCTCAGAGGCAGCCTTGCAGGATGAGCGTGTCCCAGTTTTTCACAAGCTACAGAAATCAGGTGAAGGGATCCGGCATTGGAGATGGGGGCAAATCCTTCATTAGATATTAGATTATATGCCACAGAAGTTTTCAGCTGTCTATTCATTTAAGATTTTTTTTAGACCTGGATCCAATGAATTCTTCCAGAAAAACAGAAAACCTATACTCCTGTTGTTTCTCACAGCTCCTTAGCATCAGAAAGACTTCTGTTCTTTTAGTTCAATATTTCTCACACTTTACATCAGAACAATCTGAGTTGACTGAAAAATATAGGGTTCTGGGCTATCCCAGACATTCTGAGGCCAAAGGTTGGGTTTGGAGTGCAATGAGGAATCTGTTTTTTGTATTTTTATTTATTTATTTATTTATTTATTTATTTTTTTCACGATCAGCGCACATAATTTACCTGAGGCAGATACGTGCAGCTGCAGTGAAAGAAACACAAACCCAGCTCCATCTTGTCTTCTTCCTAATGGGTTGTCTGTCAGATGACAATGGACCCTAATTAGTTCTGAGACCAACTTGGCAGGGGCTGCCTGAGAGGATTTTTGGCTGAGAAGAACTGTTGAACTGCCCTGAACTTTTGAGTGCTAGTTCTACATTTTAATCTCTTTGGCTCACTAATGACCGATGGCTATTCAAAGTTTTTTTTTTTTTTTTTGACTCTTACATTGTGGTCTTTTTAAAAAAAAATTACCCAATAACTCTTGTTATTCATTATTTGGTAAAAGGAAATTTGTCTCCACCCGGAACCTCAGCTTGCTCTCTACTAGCAGAGTAAACCCACTTTGTCTTCAATGTGACCTTTCAGATATTTAAAGACATCCCTGCCAGTCCTTTGCTTGGCTAATTGCTTCAGTCATTCTGTGACATGGTTTCCAGTTTTGACCTCCACACATCTTCAAAGTTAATCTACTGGACTTGTTCTAATGTGCAATTAACTAAACACAGTACCATAGATACAGTCTGACTACTGGGGGTAATTGGGCTGGATTGTGAGGGATAATGTGTGTGTGTGTGTGTGTGTGTGTGTGCGCGCGCGCGCGCGTGTGGTGAGTGTGTATGTGTATGTGTGTGGATGGAGGAGAACAGGGATTTTATTGCCATTGCCCAGAGTTTTTAAACTAGAGACATTAATTTTATTGACTATAAAATGGCACTTATCTTTAAGAGGGAAGTGCCTTTTTTTTCTTTTTAAATTCGTAGAGAGTCAAGGTAACAGAAGCTCACAGATCAGTTGAACCTATACACATCAGTAAGCCAGTACTCCCCCATTGAATTTGTGTTTGTTGTTCTTTTTTTTTTTCTTTTTTTCTTTTTGAGTCACACCCAGTGATGCACAGGAGTTACTCCTGGTTCATGCACTCAGAAATTACTCCTGGCGGTGCTGGAGGACCATATGGGATGCTGGGAATCGAACCTAGGTCAGCTGCATACAAGGCAAACACCCTACCTGCTGTGCTATTGCTCCAGCCTGGAGTGTGTGTGTGTGTGTTTGTTGTTCTTAATGTGCCGGTAGGCTCCTTGGGTGACTTATGTGAAGTGGGAACAAGAGAGGCAGCAGCCTCCAGAAGGATATCTGCTGTTTTCTCTCTACCTGCCTCTGCCACCCAGCTAATGGGGAATGAATGGGGAACGGCTGGGGAAATCTTGGACTGTGAGCCTTGCTTCTTGCAGATAAGGAAAATCAGTTTAGATCTTACCCAGGCCTCTGGAGTTCTTGCCTTTCTCTCAGAAAAGAAGTAAAAGCAGTAAAATTAAAAAAAAAAAAAGGCGGGAGGGGGGGGGTCTTTATTTGGAAGGAGAGAGAGAGAGAGAGAGAGAGAGAGAGAGAGAGAGAGAGAGAGAGAGAGAGAGAGAAGAGGAGGGGAGAGGGGAGAGAGGAGAGGGAGGGGAGGTACAAATAGGGGAACATGGGAGAGGGAGGGAGGGAGCACAGGCTTTTCCAGAGTGTACAGGGAGCCCCAGTATACACCCAGCGTTAGATATGAAAGTATGAAAGTCCATATCTCAAGGGGGGAGGCGGGTGATATTGACACATGTGCTCAGTCATTAGCAGCAACACCTGGGCAGATATAGCATATAGGCTCGTTTCCTTTGCTCCAAGCTGACCTTCATAGATTTCTCCCAATCGTCCCCCATGAGTAGCTTTCTAGGTAGGTGAGAGTTCATCGCTAGGATGTTTGCCCAGGGGTAGAGTTGGGAATAGTTGATGGTCTTATTTGATATTCCTTTTCTGGCCTTTGGTCCTACTGGGGCTTTTCAAAGGATGGGGAGTTCAGCCTCCTCTGAGTCTGCAGTAGTGGCAGCTAAAGGTCAGACCAGACCTTAGTTCCTGTGTCCACAAGGTAGATTCTGGAAGCCTCAGGTTAGTGAGTGACAGAGTAACTTCTTGCAATCCCATCTCTTGCCTTTATTACTTCCCAAGAACTCATTGCCTTGGGGCAGGGGGTTTTGGGGAGGCTGCCTACCTACCTACTTCATTAACCTTTTCCAAGTCATAGAAATGAAAGAAGGGTCTTGTTTTGGCTACTCAGATCTTCTCACACTATTCAGATCTTCCCAGGGTTAGTTTTCTTAGTGTGGCCTAGCATAGAATTATTGCTGATCTTCATAATATTTTAGGATCTGCTCACAAGTGCTAGAAATCTTAGAAGTGGGTCTTTTGCACATTTTATATACAAAGAGAATATTGTAGCTGTGATGGAATGGCTCTGTTTAATTGGTAGTGATGTAATCACTTCAAAATATGCAAATACCACATCATCACTCTGCACACTATAAATGTATAGAATCTTGTCAATTTATTACTATTACTTTTTGTTCTGGGGACCATGCCTGGGAGTGCTTACATGCTATTCCTGGCCCTGTGCTTCTCCGTGATCACTAGTAGTGCTGGGCGAGGGTGGGTCGGGGGGATCATACGTGGTTCTGGGGATTCAAACGAGGGTAACAGTCACCTCAGCCACATGTAAGACTTTCTTCCTATACTTTCTCTTTCCTCCTATGCTATCTCTCTGGGCCTATAATTTTGTCGTGAGCTCTATTGCGGATTCACTACCAAGATCTCACCATTCTACAAAGAAGTAATCATCCATATCAAGAGAGGGGTTCGGCAGGGCGATACCATTTCACCAAAACTCTTCAGTGCCACCCTCGAGAACATCATGCGACGACTAGAATGGGAAAACATGGGAGTGAAGATAGATGGTCGGCAACTACACCACCTCCGCTTTGCTGATGACATCGTTCTAATAACACCAAACATCAGCCAAGCGGCACAAATGCTGGCGGACTTTGACCGTGAGTGTGGAAAGGTTGGACTACAGCTGAATCTTACGAAGACAATGTTTATG